TGCTAGTGGAAGCAACCACATACGCAAAGGTACTCCTCATCAAATGAGAGAGATCGCAATCCTCAACCTTTGTGCTAGTGGAAGATAAGAAGCGGAGTGTACTGCGTGTTAGAGATTCAAAAGGATCCAATCGGTAAACTCCATGCAACATGTGCAGTATACGTTGTTCGACACTGCGCAGTGCAGGTACTCGTGTAACTCGTATGTCAGCAAATTGTACCAAAGGAAGTTAGTTATGTCGGTGCTAAGGATCTCACGCATAGTTGCACCACCCGGTACAGTCTGCGCGTGATAGTCGTACCTGTACTGGTTCCTGGCGTGATGACAGTCGAAGCGATTGGTGTATGCATTCAAGTGAGCCAATGATCTCTACCGTGAGACATTGCAGGTAGCTCAGGCCGCTCTTGCTGCCAGTAAAGATTGGAGTAAAGGAATCCCGATGACTGATCATCTACTTGGCGTTACGTGGGAATTGGGAATTGTCATTAGGCGTGCCATGTGCTGCAACACACGTATACGAATATCCGGCGCTGATGGTGGAGATTGTCGAGTTTGAGAACGGATGGGGAAGCGACAGGCGGCGGGGTCAGACGGGGCGGGATCCAGCCGTAGCTACTACCTCAGCGTTGGGAAGGTGCGAACCTTTCTGTTACCTCACCGTGGCCTTGGCTAGACTCAGCGCTCTGACATGCGCGTGGTACCGAGCACATGGAGAGTGCCAGCGTAGTCGATAAACGGACTATGCACTATTCCTCGTGTACTCCTAGTAGGCTTTAGCCGTTTTGCACCAAGGCAGCCCTGAAGTCGGTATACGGTGCTGACTATGTCTCGGCTAAGCTTGTCTCATGATAGATGTAGAGAGCCCTGGCAATAACGTGCGAGGGCGTGTTAACGAAGTCTTCAAGCTCTTCAAAATCAATAAGCTCAGCGTCGCGTCATAGAAGCGACGGCAAAAGGCTTGGGGCCAACTGCCAACACCGCAGACGCTTATCCGTGGTTCTGGCGTGGCGAGGCGTTTCAATAAAGCCGGAACCGTAACGGTAGAGTACCTGCTCACGTGCGGCATCGCGCTTGCCGGCCGAGGTCTTCATCAAGCTTAATTTAGGCGACGTGTCGATCTTGAGTTCCCCCAATCCCCGTCTTTTACCCTATCAACTTCACCGTCGACACGCTCTATTTGCGAAAAAGGACCGCGCATCTGACCAGGTCCATCGAGGATAGGCGCGACACCACTCCAATGCGCCGTATGATTACCGCACACCACTGAGCCCGTATCTCAAAGGGTGGCGTGAATAAGCCCTTGCATACCGCGTCTGGGCAGGAAGCCTCAACCGCTGCCACTGCGTCTTCATATCCGCTGGCCGAGGCTTGTCTTGTCGCTCGAAATTCTTGATGCCGGTACCCGGTGTCGTGGTGTCGCATGTCGCATGTCCGTCCCCTGAGCGTGCAATTACCGTGGCCGCAAATACGATCGGGGTCCGTTGCCCAGGTCTTGGGCAACGCAGAGAACATTCGGGAGACCCGCCTCGACGATAGCCCTGGCAGCATGGCCCTCGGAGGAGCGAATGGTAGCGTTCGGAGGAAGTCTTGGCTGTATGGCGCGATTGGCTAAGCCGTTGTCCGTATCCCAAGCTTCGAGCCATTATCTTGTCTATCTGCAGGCGGCCCCACAGCGTGGTTGTTGGTGGGAACGTCTGGCCTGCATCCCGCCAGCCTCCTCGATGTCTTGCCCGAATCAATCGCTGCGGTCGTCTTCCAGAACGTTTGTATCGACGCTATACCAACGCTATCACCCGCAGATAACCGCGTTTGCAGTCAGAAAGAGCAAGGTCGCTGATACCGCGATTGAGGAATGCATGGGCCATGGGCTGGGCCTCCAAGACCAGAGTCGTTGGAGGCGCGAGCTAGTGGCTCTGGGCATTTCTTGGGGACGACTATCGCTACCCCGCGACCACCTGCTTTAGGCAGGAGGTTAGTCGATGGCATGCGACTGGGGCGCCACAGGTAATTGTTATCTTGGAACCAGCAAGCTCTTCTTGTCTCGCTGCTTGCCAGTGGTGGTTAGCAACTTGGCGAGGCTTGAGTAGCCCAGGACGCCTCGGCGATGCGGTGCGAAAAGAGCATCGTGCAGCACCTATCGCGCACGCGCCGAATGCCTTTCCGGGCACAACAGCCGCGGTGGCAATGCGTTTGCTGATGGACAGACGGTCGTGAAGGAGTCGATACGGTGCCCATCCCTGTGTCGGTGTGCGCGCCTTCCTTATCGGGCCTGAAGCTGTAGAGCACGACGTCGGACCCGTGATTCGCGTGCTCAAATTAAATGCACCACCACCCCATTCTCTTTGCTCTTCAGGGTCTCTCTTCTCCTCGCCGCACCCCATAAACAATCACCTGGCTGCTTTCCCAGTCACTCAACCACGGTCCACCTTCATTGTCAAACGACCTAGGTGCACGCCCATCATGCCTGTTGGTGACGCCGGTGAAGTCGTGAGTATACTCTTCCCAAGCTCCATTGCATACTTGCTTACGACCCTTGCAGCAAGCTGTCGGCTTGGACCCCGCTCTTATTGACGCTTCTGGCGACCCCACGCGCAAGCACCCCGAGATGCACACAACCTCTGCGCCCGCCTACCTCCACTCCGAGGGCAAGGCCACGCTCCAGGACAGCTACCTCAACGAGGCCGATGACTTTCCCACCGATGAGGAGCTCGCCACGCTTCGCCGTGTGCCCGCTAGGATCCCATGGAAGATCTTCACCGTACGCAATCGCACTCGCAGAGCACGTGAGACAAACACTGACTTGACTTCAGATCGCTTTCGTTGAGCTTGTCGAGCGTATGAGTTACTACGGAACCGTTGCTGTATACTCCAACTACATCGCTAAGCCGCTCACTACGCCCACTGGAGCCGCGCTCAACCCAGATGATGCTGAGGCTCAACCCGGTGCCCTCAACATGGGCAAGCAGGTCGCTTTCAGTTTGACTACATTCAACGCCTTCTGGGTCTACGTCTGCCCGCTCCTCGGAGCCTGGATCGCCGACACCTACCTTGGTCGTTTCAAGACTATTCTATACTCCGTCTTGGTCGCTGAGATTGGTCACTTGATCCTCGTCGCCTCAGCTGCGCCATCTGTCTTGGAGAACTCCAACACTGCCCTCGGCGTTTTTATCCTCGGTCTCATCATCATGGGTCTTGGAACTGGAACTTTCAAGCCCAACATTGCCCCCCTTATCGCCGAACAAGTTCCTCAGGAGAAGATGCGCGTTGAGACACGCGGTACTGAGCGCGTCATTGTCGACCCTGCTGTCACTGTCACCCGTATCTACAACTGGTTCTATTTCTTCATCAACATCGGTGCTCTGGTCGGTCAAATCAGCATGGTTTACGCTGAGCGATACGTCGGTTTCTGGCTCGCGTACCTGATCCCCACCGTTATGTTCATCATCGCTCTCCCCGTCTTGATCTTCTGCAAGAAGTTCTACATCCTCCGTCCCCCGAGCGGTAACGTTATGGGCCCTGCTTTCAAGCTTCTCTTCAAGGCTCTTGGACGCGGAATGAGCATCAACCCCGTTAAGACTTGGAAAAACTGGAACGACGGCAACATGTGGACTGCTGTCAAGCCTTCCGTCCTTGGCTCCGCCGCACCCAAGTGGTACAACTTTGATGACGCCTGGGTTGATGAGGTTGCTCGTGGTTTCGCTGCCTGCTCCGTCTTCTTCTGGGTGCCTATCTTCTGGCTTGCATACCGCCAGATGGACTCCAACCTGACCCAGATGTGCGCCACCATGAAGCTCGGCGGCGTCCCCAACGACATTCTCTCCAACTTGGACCCCATCGCTATCATCATCATCGTAAGTACTGTCCAATGGTCTAACGCCCAGAACGAATGCTAATCGTACTATAGGTGCCTATCATGGACTCTCTCGTTTACCCCTTCCTCCGCAAGCGAGGTATCCGCTTCACTCCGATCAAGAAGATCACCGCTGGTTTCATCCTCGGAGCCTTCGCCATGGTCTGGGCAGCGGTTCTTCAACACTACATCTACAAGACCTCCGGCTACTACGAGACCAAGGACCCCGAGTACAAGACCGACATCACTGTCTGGGCTGTTACCGGTGTCTACGTCCTCATTGCCATCTCCGAGATCTTCGCCTCCGTCACCACTCTCGAGTACGCCTTTACCAAGGCTCCCAAGAACATGAGGTCGCTCGTTCAGTCCGTCCAGCTCTTCACTACCGCCTTCTCTGCCGCCCTCGCCCAGGCTTTCACTCCTCTTACTGCCGATCCCCACATCGTCTGGAACTACGGAAGTGTAGCCATCATCTCCTTCGTCACCGGTATCGCCTTCCACTTCGCCTACCGGAACATGGACAAGAACGAAGACCAGCTCAACCTGCTGCCCACCGGTCACCTCGGCACGGAGGCCCAGACTGCTGACATCGAGAGGCGCCAGAGCGTCAACGAGGAGAGGCGCGCTAGCCTTGTCGCTCAGGAGAAGATGTAAGCGGTTTACTTCTAGATGTGTTGATGCATGATGTTGTGGTTCGCTTATCGAACCACCGTACAACGATATACCCCTCGAACCTATTGGTTACCGCGTCTAGGACGCTAGACATGTGTGATGTGCCGCTCGCTGGATGCGTCGGTCTCTGGTCATGACTAGTTTACTTACTTTAATGCCAAACATTCACTTCAAATCAATAGTCTCGTGCAATTGCGGTGATGCAAAGAAAAGATTACAGTCCACATGGATCGAGTATTCTCTCTGCGGTGGTGATCAAATTGTGGTTACGACTATCGGTCCGAGTGCCCAGGCCAGGAAACCCGCGCTAGCGTCTCACGCTAAAGCCAGGGTCTCGCGATCGAGCATGACTGTGGTTGTGTTCACGGAAGAATAGAACCTTCTCGTATGCTTGAGCGTCACAATACCAAGTCGTCAACTCATTATATACGCACCATATCCAACGACTTTACCTTAGAGGCCAATTGCGTAATTCAAGATGGCGACAGGTCTATCGCAAGCCACACGTGACGAAGCTGCCATGCTTTCAGAGACGTAAGACCTCTCGGCTTCAATCACTGTACCATCTGCGCTGACGCTGCTAGCTTTCCTCTATGCGATCTTCCGCAAGAACTTCGTGATAAGATATACGAGTATTCCTTCGACTCGAAGATAATCTTCCGCCATGACCCATTCGGGCCTAAGATGGAGGGTTACGAGCGACCTGAACTTTATCTGCCACCTAGTATGTTTACTGTCAATGTAACCGTACCAGTATTGACCTTTCCACAGATGAGACAGACGAAGAGATTGAGGACGATGCTAGGAGCGTACCCAACGTAAAGATCGAAGGAGTAACTCATCGCCAAATCGGAATGCTATCCTTCAAAATCTTGATCGCGACGCCTTTGCTCGCTGTATCCAAACTCACGAACTTGGAAGTGAAAAGGGTCATTGAAATCGTGAAGAAAACCTGGGCCCGGACCATCCGAGAGTCTATCCATCATCTACACCACATCAAATCCCCTAGCCCCGCCTTCCTCGATCTCTGGTCCCGCAGTGAACTAGTCCTCGGTCATCAACCCGGCTCATCTCTCCTCTTCTTGAGACTTCTTCCAGATTCGCTCAAGAAGTCGCTTCGTCGGCTCTACCTCACCTTATCTGTTACACTTACCTATCCCGGCTCGGATTCTCGCGCAGTATGGGAGCCGAATAATCCTGAAGAGGATGCCTTGTTTACCAATAGTATATGGGCTTACCTCCCGAACGTACGTGAGATGGCGATCGAGATCATACCGACATACTACGACTCGTGGCTTGTCGGCAGGACTCCTCCTTCGGAATATGTTCTCGATATGGTTTGGGAGGGCCGCTTGGATACTGTGTGGTTCTATTACAGAGGTGACCGTATCTCAGTACAGACAGATAGACTCTTCTTGTGGAACGTGGCGATGGAGGGGAACAGCCCTGATGACTACAGTGAGGTGGACTTCTATCTAAAGGGGGTGGAAGAGACCATCTCTCGTACGTCGGCTGGATCCGCGGTATGGCGAGAACTACATGCCTTTCGCGTTGTGAAGATCACAAAAGAGCGGAAGCCAGCTTAGTACTGCAGCTGCGACGTGTCTTGTCAAAACTCCCTGTCGTCTTGCTGGTTGTCGGCACACAGCCCTGGCATTGGTCTAAATCCTAGCGTACTCAGTCGTATAGTGAGATTTTGTAGTAGTAGTAAAGGATCGGAAAATTGTAGAAAATGGAATTTCGCAGGTTTGCGCAATTTTTGGGGCTGCGTGTTCGTCGATGTTACGTGTGAAGAAACTCGCCAGGCCCGAGCGAGGAAACAAGAAGAGGTCCGAGCATTCGCGAGACGCGTCTCAGCGCGTCGCGCTAGTGCTGTCACCTCCTTCCGCGAGCACTCCTCTTCCGTTGTTCTCGCGAGCGCAACATTGAAGCCCGATTTCACATACAGCAACAGCAATGCGTAAAGAGACAGCGGAAGAATCGCGGTCTGGCCATGGTGATGCTGCCGCACATCTAGACGTGTTAGGACTCTCCGCCCTACGCATCGCGTTCCTAAAGCTAACAACATGCAGTTTTCGTCTGCATGACCTACCGCAAGAACTTCGCGATATGATCTATGATTATTCGCTTGAGCCAAGAGCGATCTTTCGGCATACGAACCGCGAAGATCAACGGGAACAAAACCAGGGTTACGACCTGCCAGAGACGAATCCTAGCAAAGGTACGCAGACTCGGGTGTAACCACCACGTCAGGACTAACTCTCCCATAGAAGACCCGCAGATGATTCTCGATATGATGAAAACACCGCGAGTGCTTGATGAGGACCAGCCAGTTCCGGACGAGCTTTACGATGTGTTTTGGAGCGACCCTAATGGAAGCTTCGGCTTCTTCTCTGACCGCCAAGATGTAATGCTCACGTACAAGATCTTCATGTCGACACCATTACTTCTTGTATCCAAAGAAGTGAATAGAGAGGCGGAGACGGTACTGCGGGCCAACAAACGAGGATGGATCAATTACTACAACGAAGTCGCGCGATCCAACATACATTACCATCGGATCATTAAACCGACCAGGGCTTTCCAGTACCTTTGGTCTCGCAGTCAGGTCGTTCTGGAAAACACTACCGCGGATACCATGTTCTTCTTGCAATTCCTACCGGAGGTCTTGAAGAAGAGCCTTCATAGTTTGATCATCACGAAAAGCTTGATGATCGAAAACGAATTGTCGATAGCACTCTGGCAAACTGACGACGAAAAGGGCGGATCGTTCATGTCAAACTTGATCAAAGAACACTATCCTAACCTGCGTACAATGGCTCTTGAGATACCAAGCACGGAGGAAGAGATGAGAAGCAATATCAATAACGCTTTCGGGCACTTATGCGATATGCTCAAGATGAAAGATCTAGATGCCCTCAGGTACTTCTTCAGGGAGGCTTGCTTTTCTCAATCCGACGGCTGGTTCCTCATAGATGTGGACCTAGAAGGGTGGGAGCTCAGCGATGAGTCCGACGACTATGAGGTGGGAGAAGACGAAATTTCGGAGCGCTACAAACAACCCCTGGATGGCGTGGAGGAAACTATTTCGCCTACTTCAATCGGGTCTGCCGTATGGCGCGATCTCGGAATGGAGCGCGTCGTCAAGATCACGAGGTCGCAGACAGCAGCCTAGCGCTGTGGCTGCGACGTATTCTAATATGTGTTTTGAATTAGACCTAGGTTGCAGTAATTCATGGCATCGCGCCACCCTCCAGTCATTCCCATTGCAACAGTTAGTCAGGGGTGTGCCTATTGGCTGTGCCACGCTACTCTCCTCGCTCGGCGCCCACTCACTACTAGCCAAACAAATGTGTAAGAAATATTTGGGAATATCGTCGCAACGTCGCGGTACTGCTTACAAGTGTAGATGCCTTATTGGTGGTATACGTTGCGAGAACCGTGGTCAAAGTGTGCAACCATGGTACCGAAAGTCTGCCGCCTTCAGGCATCAAGATCACGTTTTCAGTTCCAGCATGTATATATTGCGCTTGGTTTCCTACTCTCATCTCATCTCTACAATCAACTTCCTGTTTCCAATCATACTCTACAACCAAACTATCGCAGCAACTACCGAAACTCAGACATCATGACTCTTACTATGATTCAAACATCAACCGAGTTCGAAGCGGATCAGCTCTACAACGCCATTCACTACTCAGATTTCGCTTATGACTACACAACGACGGTTTCAGCCTATTTGAAAGACTTTCCTGCTCTTCCCTCCGCTTCGACTACCGAATACTCCTACGCACCAACCTCAATACCTACCTGGTGGTCAGAATTCGCGCACAACACACTTTTGTCAGACATGTCTTATCCAGTCTCACCAAGAGAGTTGAAATCTCTCATCGAAGCCGAATTACACCAAGGTCTCACGCAGTCTGCTATCCTCCAGCATTGGATGAAGAGATCTGGGAGCGAAATCCCGCTTGGCAGTGCCGCTGCAGCCGCAGCACTCCAAGACGCCATTATCGTGGCCTCTGATGCCGAGTGGTACGAGCACGATGACCATTTCATCACGGAACTCGGAATATCTGTTCTCGATCCGCGTTCCGTGCCACAACCATTTTCCTCATCGCCATGGGGTATTCTCACCAGCATGGAGAACTACCACGTGCGCATCAAGCCCCACGCACATCTCACCAACAAAGACCTCTGCGAAGGGCATCCAGATGCCTTTCAATTCGGCAGCACAACCTTTGTCAGCGTGAAAGAAGCGAAAGAAATGCTGCGCAGCATTTTCACTCGCCGAGACATATACGGTAACCTACGTCCAATAATCTTCGTCGGCCACGCCGTGTCAAACGACTACGAAGTCATAAAATCGCGCTTTGGTCTCGACCTTGAAGAAATCGGCACCATCGTCGCAACAATCGACACACAAGTGCTGGCCGTAGAGCACGGCCTCGTAAACCCATCCCGCAAAATCCGCCTTGCACATCTCCTCGCCGAATACGACATCAAAGAACCATACCTTCACAACGCCGGCAACGACATCGTATGCACCATGATCGCCGCCTTCCTAATGCTTTGTCCTCCAACCCAAACCCCGCTCAACAAACTCCACTACGTGGACCTCAAAGCGCAACTCCACAATGCGGGCCAAACCGCCATCAAAGAAGGTCGCGGCTACGGCGTCACGCGTTTCTGCGAGAAATGCGATTCCCATCACCACACCGCACCGTATTGTCGCGTGAGCGTGTGGCACTGTGAACACTGCGAGAAAGACCCCCTGACACGACACATGGCGTATACTCATAATTCGCAGAAATGCATTCATGTAGTCAAGCAGGCTGCGCTGATCAAGAAACAGGGCAGCATGGGCTATGGACAGGGTGGGTCGAAGCGCTCGAGTAGTCCTAATGCTGTGCCGTGTGAGTTTTGTATTGAGAGTACGGATCCGAGACGGTATTGTAATGAAAATGCCTATGGGCACAAGACGGGGGATTGTGCCTGGCGGAGATAGAAAATATGAGAAAATCAGATTAAAATATTTTTAGCTTGTGTTCTCCAATTCATGTGATATCCTGGTGTGTGTAGGGTGTCCAGGTTTGTGATGTTGCTCATTGCAGACTGTCTGTTGCGTATGGTTTCTGCGAGTTGAGGAAGGCGTGGATAGCTCATCGACGAATGCACTGTCATCGTCGATGCGCATGCATTGTTTGAGGAGATATCGGGTCGATCGAAAGTAGCTGTGCGCAGGTCGTCTTCTCGTCGCGAGACATTCTTCGTTGGGTGGAAAAGCGCAGCGTGCCTGCCTTCCAAGGTCAGCGATGTCGCACAGCGTTGACGCGGTGACGTGAGAAGCAAACAAACATACCCTCGTTGCTGCCTACGCGCTTTCCCTTGAAATCTGGCACGTGCCTTTTCAATGTGACACCTTCCATCCCCATCGCTTCTGCACACCTTCCGCTTTCCATTCAGCCTTGTTCTCTTGCGCCTTCGACGCACTACCGCTGCTTGCCGACAAGCTTACAGCATCTCTACACGCTTGTGTTACCTCGTCGATTTGTCTCAGCGTTCACAGTCATGTCTTACCGCGCCTTTCACGACATGCCCACCGAGCTTATCGAGGCCGCCGCAGGCTACATGGACGACGCAGATCTTCTTTCCTTTCGCTTGACATGTAGACATGCAGACGCGAAGACCCTACGCGTAGTCGGCAAGCGCTTCTTCTCCAGCCTCAAGACCACTCTGATGGCGTCCGACCTCGAAAAGCTCGACGACATCTCTCGAAGTGCGCGACTAGCCAAATACGTTAGGAACATCCGGATCGAAGACGACCAACTAGAGGTTGTATCATCTATGCCCTCGGGCGAAGGCACTTGTCTGGATCCAAGGGCGCTAGCGATATTGAGAGCGAGGCATTGCATCTGGCTGCGCGAAACAATGGTCATCCCTGAGGTAGACAAGGCCGCCGTTGCCAAATTGAAGACGATACTCGAGGAACGCCTCTTGTCTCTGGATACCCTTGCTATTCACTACTCTGACACTAGAGATGAAGAGAAAGCTACAGAAGCTACCATCGCGCTCGCTCAAGAGATCGTTCTAGACGGGAAACTTGCCAGTACCGCATTCTCAGTCTACCTCAGTTCCCGAGGGCTTTCCTGGGTAGGAGCCGTCTTGACTCTGTACCTTGATCGATCCAGAGAAGGCTTGGATAACAGACTGCTTCAGAATGTGGGATTGCAGCTGTTGTCCGGTGGGCCTCCGTTGGACCACCTGCTTACCTCAGTTTCCGAGGAGACGCAAAGGTTGGGACATCTCCGAATGGAGTGCACAGGACCGCAATACGCCCTACTTGTCGGCCTCGTGCACCAAGGAAGGTTCGTGCCCAAGCGGACGATCCTGCGGTTTTCGTCGTCAAAGACGTTTCGGCGAGTTCGTCAGACAGTCTGAAGAGGATCGGCCTCAGAAGTATCTCTGTGGTCTCCGTGTCACGACTGGGTGACTTCTTGCGCGGAATTTTGGACAGATACCCACAGTGGGAGACTTGGCGATCAGGCATTAGCTGCAATTCCTGGAGTGAGGACAGTGCAGATGTAGACACTTACGAAGTAGCAATGCGAGATGTGCCTGAGGGTTGCTTTGGCCCTGCTCGGATCGATGGGGGAACTGGGCAACATGTTCCTTTCTACTACCTGGAGGGGCACTAGTATCCTATTTGGAAACTCTTGTACTCTTTGAACTACACAGATGTGGCACTGTATGCGAGGATTCAACATAAATACTGTACCGTTGACAAAGTTCCATATGTCCGAAACTCTTATCTATCAAAGCGACCATTCTCAACATACCGCTCCCACCAATCACCCTACCTAAACACCACCCATAGCCCCCTCCATCCACGGATAAACCGTTCCATTCGCCTCGGGATACCCCATATGCAACCTCCCCTGCATAAACCGCATCTCCTTCGGACTCCCATACTCCGCCAGCAACATACTATCCTCCACGGGCATACACCCATCCAACACACCATTAACCAGCAACAACCTACAACTGCTCATCCCCATCCCCACAACAGCCACGCCCTCTCCCTTCCCACTCACGAGCGAAAACTCGTCTTGGCACTTCTCTTTCATCTCGTCAAAGGAGGAATAGCCGTATTTCTGGATATACGCTTCCTCGAGACCGAAGGGGTATTCGTGTTTAGAGATCTGTGAGAGCCATTCTGAACCGATGTAGTGGTGTGTGCCGGCGCCGTGGCCGACGCTGCCGAGGAGGCGGGAAGAGTGCGTGTGCGCGAGGCGGATGGCGTAGTAGCCGCCGGCTGAGAGACCCCATGCGATGACCTTCTTTTCGTTCAGATACGGTGTTTCGCGGATCCAGTCTAGGATGCTGGTGAAGAGCCGGTCCGGGGAGAGCGGGTCGCGCTTGTTGGCGGGGCAGTCGACGGTTGTGCCGGGTATGTCGCAGATTACGGTTGCCCAGCCACGGTTTAGATGCTCTTGGGTGCGCTCCGTGTTGTCGGGGCGGTGGCCGTCTAGGCCGGTGATGAGGAGGACGGTGGGGAAGGGGCCGGAGCCGGTGGGTTTGCGGATGTAGAGAGGAATAGAAGTGCCGTCGCCGTTGGAGGCTTGTTTGTGGGGTATTACGACTTCTTCGAGGGGGATGTCCCATAGTTGTGCGCCGCGGAAGTAGACTTCCTTTTGCTCTTCGAAGACCTTCTTCTTGAGCTCGGTGCCGATGTAGGGGAATCGAGCGAGTCGGTATACAGCGTTTGCGTTTAGGTAAAGCTTCTTCGCTGCCTCTTTGTCCTTGCTTTCCGTCTCTTTGGCTTCCTTCGCTAGGCGTTGCGCTGTTGGCAAGAATGCACTTGTGTATGCATCCTCGTAAGGGTCGTTGATGTTGTTGTCGATGAGATGCTTGAAGATTGGTTCGAAATCTTCAAACTTGCCATCGTGAAAAGGGTAAACGCCTTTGGTGCAGGGAAACTTCCATCGTTGTTCCCAGAGTTTCTGGATACTGCCGCGATGTCCATATTCCTTGGTAAAGAGGTCTCCGAGGATCCAATTTCCGTTAGGCATGACGCAAATATTTTGACTGAAGAAATATGTGATAGTATCCTGTAGGTAGGCTGCCAGCCGTTTGCATGTCGTCGTTGCGCATACAAGCGTTGTATATACATTGCCGTTTCGGGATCGGCGGGGCCGGCTCGCCAGTTGCTTCAGGCCCGTCCGGACGGACCCCCGCAAAATGAACTACGGCTTCCCGTAGTCTGCATCAACCAAACGCACGTCAAACTTCCGATGAAGCTGACATTGATCTACTGGGATGGTGCGACAAAGTGGCAAGACCCTGGATGCAGGTACAAGGATGTGCATTATTGCCCGGGAAACTCTTCTACCTCTTCCTCCTCCGCTTTACGCTTCACGTACTCTCTCAGGACATGCACCAATCTCGTCCTACCGTCTTGCCTCTCGAACACCTGTGCGTGGTCTACAGTAGGCCACCAAATCGTCTCTGTGCCGTGGCCTCTCCACTCGGAGTCCTTCCAGGTTCTGTCCTCGCCCTTGAGGTCAGCACCATTAAGGTACTTCCCAATTGTCTCGGTGTCGACTATCAGATCCCTGCCTCCAAGGCTGACAGTTACGTCCCGGTCGTTGAGGTCCTCCTTCCACAGTATGTTTTGTGCCCAGAAGAACTGGCGCGCCAGGGTTTGCGCAACCATCATGTCGGTAGAAGCGAAGTAATAGAGTTGGTGCTCGTTCGCCCCTTTCGGTCGACGCGCGGTAAAGTTGTACGCCACATCGGGAAGATGTAACAGGAATGTAACAGGGTCGATGAAGACCATCGGACCGATTTTGGCAGCGGTGATGGGGTCCCGAAGAAGGTGGGTAGAGATGACGGAACCGTAAGAGTGACTTGCGAGTACGACTTTGTCAAAAGCATGGCGTTCCAAGATCATGTTGATCTGGCGACAAATGTCGTCTTTGTCTGGAATCGCCCCAGTGATACGGAAGCTGACAGGCATGATCTCCACAGCAATGATGCCGACCTGACCATCTTGTGCCGCAAGCGGATCGTGCTTGTTTATCTCGTTCAAGAACTCGACGTATGGGTGCAGGCCGATGCCGATGCCGTGTACGAAGAGAACGGGTAGTCGCGTCTTCGAGGTGTGTGGTCGGTACCAGTAACTCAGATCAGGCGCGGATGAGATGTTGCGCGTAGTGAGACTGGCAAGTCGCGGTGGGAAGATGGCCAGCGAGGAGCGAAGGTGGGTGCGGAAGAGCATGAAGCCGTAGTAGCGCAAACGAGCGGCGGTGAGGGTATCGACTAGCATCACGATCTGTCGCCGTCAGTATCACATATCATGTCGAGACCAGCAGACATACCATATACCACAGAAACGGCCGATGCGCCATGTTGACTTGGTCGATAGTCAGACGCAGGCTCTTTGCGCTGCCCATACCAGGCGCCAGCTTCCTCCCAAGCATCGTCTCTATGCCATCCGCATACTCGTTGAGCTCGTCGTCCTCAGCATTGGTTTCTTCCGGGTGCGCCTGCCGCCTCTTCCTCCGCTCCTCGTCGCTCTCAGTGCCGCGGTTCAGCAGCGCCCACGCAAAGAACTCGCGCACATTCTCGCGTCGTATCTCGCCCGGTCTCGCGCCCAGAAACCATCTGCTGACGTAGTACTCGGGGTGAGGGATCTTATCCCAGCATCGCCAGAAGAGCTCCTTCCTCTCCCCCTTCTCGAGGGGCGGCGGGTGTTGCGCCGAGGCTTGAAGCGCGCGCTTGCGTGGCAGGTAGACAAGCAGCCAGAAGGCGGTCTCGATGATGCTCCACGTGAGGAGGAAGCGACGGAAGGCCGTGTGCGGGGGCTCTGCGATGCTGAAAGAGACCCAGAAGATGCTGAAGGGCGTGATGGCGCGGAATCCCAGGATGCACGCCCTGATGAGCAGGTACTTGGGGAGGGTGTTTTCGATCATGGCGAATGTGCGACAGGATATTAGCTATCAGGAAGTCAACCGCACCCCATCGAAAGGCATGGCGGGGGTATTATCGTTATCATGGTGGAAGTTGTTGACGGCTACACGGCAGGGTTGCTGCTTACAGCCCGCCGATGACGCAGCTGCCTGCTGCTTTCTTTGGCTTAGTCAGCCGCGCATCACACTTCTCGCAACCAACACCGTATTCGGCAGAGTGTACATTCACCCTATATTGTTCGCATCTATGCTAGACCCAGGGTATCTTCAAGGCGTTTTCAGCCGTCATCTGAACTTCCAAAAGCAACTAATCACCTCCCGGTCTGTTCAAAGCGCCGCCAATCTAACGCCGAAACACCTGTGCAGTCCTTCTGCCATCTCAACCTTGGTTGTGTCCTCCGTGTCCTCCACGTGGAGGGTATCCACCACGACCGCGACCGAACGTAACGTTGCCATAGCCGCCTTGGCCGAGATGTCCGCCAAACCCCCTGACAGAAGGGTGTCCTCCAGGGCCTGGCGGGGCGAAGCCATGTCCACCAGGGGAGTCGAAGTACTGTCGGAGACTGTCATAGTTCATGGTAGAACCAGATGGACGAGTGGTACCACGACGTGACATGGGACGACCCCAGTTGGAGTAGAGCCCCCCACGATGCGGATTCTTGGTCTTTGGTTTCTTGAGGGCCCGAGCGATAGCGTCCTTCTCACGCCGAATGAGGGCCTTCTTGTTGGCTACACAAATGCAATGCTCGGTGACGTGTTCCTTTCCTGGCTCGATATTGCAATTGTTCTCCTCGCACTCATCACAATGAAGGTCTGTAGCTGTGCAATCTGGCTTCATGTGGCCGATAGTGCCGCACTTGAAGCAGTACTTCTCAACGCCACCGAGGCTATCGTCGAAGTTCGCCACACTATGGCGCTCCAGATCTTCGGCCACTTGCTCCATGCTCTTGTGTGCGAACTTCTTGCACTTGTGTCCGCCCAAAACGATTTGGAATGCGGAGATCAACGTACGAGCGGCGTCGTTTGCCGCCGTGTGGGAATCACGATGCTCGAAGGAGAGCTCTTCGACCATGCGCCTGAGGCCAACCTGCTCGTTGCGGGGCATCATCCAGTAACCCTTGTCACGAACCAGCAGCTGGGTGTCGATGTAGCGGACCACGGTACCGATTGGCTCCATGTCGAAAGCAATAGCCTTGGACTTGAGGTTGTTCAGATCGTGTCCGACGTCGTGGCCGAGAACGACGATGGGGAAGTTGCCCTTGAGGTCGGGGAAGTAACCCTTGAGGTGGGGGACGTCATTGATGGGTTGTACGAAGAGGTCGGTCAGGATCTGACGCGCCTCGGCGAAGGTGACGAACCGGCCTTGACCGAAGCGGTTGCCTTCGACTCCCCGCGATGCTGGATTCTGATTCGGGAGATGGGACGTCTCGATGGTGCGTAGGAGGTAGAAGCGGACTTTCTTCATCAGGT